TATACACATACATATATACATATATACATATATATATATATATATATATATATATATACACACATATATATGACTTTCACCAACAGACTGTGTGGCAAGAAAACAAAATGCAAGTACACCAACAGAGAGGTGCACAACAGGGACTTGAAAACTCATCTGTTTTACATGGCTTGTTAGTACCTGCATGCTGTTTAAAAATTTCAGTTCAGCATGAATGATGGCTAAAAGGTGAATACTAGGAAGCATTGTCACAGCTTGGGTCACACTACCTGCTGCTATTTGCTCATCAGCTGCCTATTGTGCCACCTGCTCTCTTTAAAAGCAGGTTTCCTGGCCCATCCCATAAAACAATACGCAACACACCACAACCACAGTGGCAACAGAGTGAGGATGAGACAGCAAAAGAAACCCAGGCGATTTCAGATCAGTCCTATGGAAGCTGCAGTGGAGTTTCTTAATCCACGTACTGAGCTGTGTATTTTTATACTGGAAACGTATGACGATGATATGTTAATTATTGAGGTTGGAGTTTGCAGCGATGTTGAACTGGACCATGGATCTAAGAATAATCCGTATATACTTGACATGCCAATATATAACTGTTTTTGACCATGTTCTCCACCTGCATCAGAACCTGACATAAGGAATTAGTTTACTTGCCTTTTGAGAGGTAATCAGTGCTTCTGCATGCTAGCAAATTTGTTTTACAAATTAACAGTGTATGCATAATGTGACAAACATATAAGTTGTAGTGATGTTACTAATTAATTCCTCTTTTCTCCCTTAAAATACACTTTTGAAAGTGGAGTGACAACCCCATTCAACCTCTACAGAATCAAAGCCCTTGATAAACAACACTCAACAAAAAGCGTCAGCCACAGAGAGGCCACAGACGATACAGTTGTAGGTCAGCTGCTTTATGAGAGAGCAAAGTCCACTTCAACCCCCGACACATATAACGCTGTTGCATTATAAATCACACAGACATCGAACAAAGAATAGAACAGAAAGCAGAAGGCAGCTCTGTCTACAACAGTCATAAAGACAGTCTCGACCCTGGAACACAGACACACACATACCCACAGTTTATGTGAAATATGCTAAGAGGAAATTCCACGGTAAGCACTTGCCATACAAACGCAGACAGACGAGCTCCACCCAACCTGAACCTTCACACTGGCAACACACTGGTCAGCCGTGAAACCACAGCTGTAACGACAGCCTCAGGTAAGACAAAAAGTACCCACGCGCGCATTATGTGATCGTTGTGTACGGACTGAAGCTGTAATTAGGGGGAGAAAACCAGCAAAACAGAGTGTGAAAGAGAACTGCTCACACATTACATCTTCTGCATGATACTTGAGTCATTTTCCTACATATGAAACAAAATGATGCCACGTCTGGCTGTGGATGAAAGGTTTTTCTTTGGCAAGCAACCAAATTGGAGTTCCTTTTTGTGAAATATAAGCTTGCCGTTATCATGGCAAACAGAATAAGTTTTATTTTCTCTAAGGGGGAGTGGACTGAATAATGAAAGCTTACAAAGAATATTAATTTGCTACACCAAATTGGTATTCACCAGAGGCGTATTGTGTTGTGGTTGGTACGTTAAGGTGTCGTTTTGTCCTAATTTTTTGTGTACGAGGGAGGCCTCTTGGATTTCTAAACTCTGTACTTTAAGCCAGTGAGGGTCGAAGAGGAACCAGATTTGAAGTCAGTTTATTGATTTTTCTAGAAAACAAAATGAATTTCAGTGTTGATGATGGCTGTAAGTTTTGCATTTTTTGTCAGCGACGTTTGTCAAAAGCTACATGACCATTGCACATAAAAAATCACAATCAAATAGCAACCAGATGAAATCAAGATAGCATTTCATTTTCTATAAATGGGACTTTCACACTTTTTTGTTCGGTATGGTGTGAACATACCTGTGAAGATGCGGAGGGGAAGCTGATGCCCTCCTCCTTCAGAGACTTAATGGTGGCACCGATGAGGCTGAGCTGTGGATCCTTCTGGAAGTCTTCTGCCCACTCCACCATCAGAGCCTTTAGCTTTTCACACACCTTAGGGTGGGCCTACAGAGGACAGGCAAACAAACAGCTGTGCCACTCTCTCCTATGTTTTCGACTCTAATGTGTTGCGCAATAACACGGCTCTGTTAAGCACAGTTAATGACTAGACGTGCATGTGTGAGTGAATGACACTGCTCAAAAATGTACGAAGACAGGTTTTACGCACCCTGCTCAGCACACTTCGTACTTCACTGGAAAACTCCCTGGAGCAGATTTCCAGGTGGAATATTTTGCCACAGTTTGACACACAAGCACCCAGCAACTGCAAGAGAAGGATTGTCAAAGTGAGACTGAACAGTTGTGCGTATTGATTATCACAAAAAAGAAGGATTTTTATCTGTATTTCACAAAAGGAAGATTTTTTTTTCTCTCACTCGTGTTACTGAATTATTTAGGATACATATTAATAGCAAGTGAAGCTTTAGCAATTATAAACGGTTCTGATGACAATAGGGCTTTAATTATTTGAATGAGTGAACACAGGGGTCTAAATATAGAGCGGGCAGTGTGACAGTATTTGCTCATGATGACTCAGACAGAGACAGAGAAAAAGCTCTCATATTGCTCATCTGAGTTAAATCCTCCCAGTATGAAATCTTCCACTGTATGGCTTTAACAGTGGGAATATTAGATCAGTTACAGCTCAGCTGCTGCCAGATTGCATTGGTGAACATTTATTTCTCATATGTAGCGACTGTAAATGTCATTTCCACTTTGGCTACACTATTATTTATACACACATTTAAGAAGTTTAGGCTCTGACATTGTGACACTGTAAGGTTTTTGTTATCTTAATGTATTAGCTTCTAATGAGTTCATCTGAAAAGATGAATGGATGCTTTCACTAATGATGGCCATAACTTGCATATGACAGTGTTACAGTTTGCTGGGGAAGAGTTACTGTCATGTTGTGTGCAGCAGATTTCTTGATTGACATTTGGTGACATAAAAGCATGGTAAAAAAAAAAACTCACATTGAGGGCCTGCATGGCAACATGAGGCACTTTGTGGTTGATTCTCTTCATAATGGATCTCAAGCTGTCCTTTGGTCTGAAACAGAACAGAACACAATTCACTGCTGAACAACAAACTCAGTGTCCTTACACTAGAGATGCTCCTGCACGGGTCCTGATGACATCTAGCGTAGACTATTTTCAAATACAAAGTCTCATATAACTGTACTGTACCTAAACAAGGAGCAATTTGAACCACAGTGCTGCTTTAATGCTTTCGTTATTGAAAGGTCTTTTTCCAGCTTACCCATTGGGTGTCGTTCCAATCTTATCGCAGATGTCCATAATGAGCCCCCAGTCATCTGTTGTGTTGTTTTCATTGGTTGACTTCTCTGGAAACATGTCAAACAGGGATACAGCGCATATGGTCCAGTGAGAAAATGTCTTCACGGCTGCTCGTCTAGACATAATGTATTCGTGGGCAGACATGCTAATCGCACTGGGCAAGTGTTAGAATAATGAATAGCAAGTCATGAGCTACCACATTTTAAACTCAGTTAATCTTACATCCAAGCCTGTCAGCCTAAGGTAAGAAAAATAAAAACCTGGAAGACTCAATAGGCCAACTAAATTTCGGGGTTTCCCCAATGACCTCAACAAGATGGTAAGTCACCCCGATCTTAAAGGCATTTTAAGTCGTGATCAGTGTAGCAGATGACAGCCTGAACAATAACCTCGTCCATTAAATAACAGGAGATTAGCCGGGTTAAAAAGCACTCTAAGCTCTTTCCCCCTAACAGTTCATTCTCAGTTACATTGTGATATTTTGGCAGGAAATTGCTCCAACAGAGAGTAAACTCTGTCATGACACATCCTCCTGACTAAACACTCAGAGAGCCAGTTAGGTGTAACAGTGCACTACTGTCTGGTCAAACAAGAACTATGGTGTTGCAGGGACAGATAAGGGTGGTGACCTCGGAAGTTTGCATGGAAATTTACGTAACACGACCGTGAGAAACACAAATGACCAAGCTACAACTACCAACACAGTGTAATCAAACTGACTCAAAGTAGCCCAGAGTCTTCACTAGGGCTGAAGCTATTAGTTGATTAATATATTCTCTCAATTCAGTGTTACAGAAAATATTTTTAAAAAATGCACATCATAAATACTTAAAACCCAAGGCCACTTCTTTATATGAAGCCCAACAGTCCAAAACCTAAAGA